TATCCAATATATGCAGTACTTCTATGAAATCAACTTACATTTACTCACACTTTCTTATGAAAGATAGAACACAACTATAGCCCAGGATGAAGGAGAGAAATGGAGTGGGAAGAGAGGGGAGGGGAGAGGTTTAATGGAGGGTAAGTTGTGGGACCACGCCTATGGAGCATATTACAAGGGTACAAGTCAATTCTGTCAAGTGTAGAACATAAATGTCTTAACACAATAATCTTGTAAATGAGGTGAAAGCTATATTAATTAGTTTGATATAAGCACGTCAAATTGTATAAAAAAACAACACATTGTACACCACATATGCATAAATGTATTCATGATCTATGTGTATATAACTTAGTAAAAAAGAAAAAACCCTTAATACCAATAAAACAATAAAACCAGTCCTTGACAGCTGCCAAAGTCACAGCCAGTCCAGACTGTACAGCCTGGGCTCTCTGTTGCCTCTACCCCCACCCCCCCGCCCCTTCTCTACGTCTCTCTGCTGACCCAAAAGCCTCTTACCAAGTGGTTCTCTCCCATCTCACAAGCAAAATCACTGGAAGCTGGTGTGTAAGTTTTCTAGCACTATATTTAGTCAACTGAGTAAATATTTCTCCAGTAAGTGCGTTGTCCTAGGCAGTGTGGGGAGTATTAAAGAAAAAAAAAACCAAGGACACCCTGCATGCTTTCGTGCCTTCCCTTCTGAAAAGCCAGCGGCTCCCCTCACACCCCATAGGAGGCTGCGCTTCTTCTCATTTTAGTTCACTTATTCCATGGACTGCGTGTGGCTTCCGTTAACTTCCATTTTTGGAAGATGTTTTCTGTCCTGCCTACTTTTCCTGAGAGATTGCCACGTAATGTGTTAGAGAAGTCACAAGATGACATTATTGTCCAGATGAAGGGACACTCAAGGAATTCATTTAGGTGGGAAAATTGTTGCCTTGCCCTTTTCTGGAAATTTATGGAACAGAAAAAGAGATCCTTATTTTAACGAAGTCAGACAACTTTTTAAACATCCCTGGGCCTTTAGAATCCTCTAGGAGATGAAGTAATTATTGCTCACATGTTAGACCTTCTCATAATAGACCTTAATGTATCAGTTTCAGGTAGGTTAAATTCATATTACCCAGCTGTTCTCGGTGTCTGAAAGTTATCTTTGTCAAAATGGAGTCATTAATGTCAAACCTAACAAAATAGAGTTGGGAGCCGCAGAGAAGGGGCCATGTGTGCATGTGTATGTGTATGAGTGTGTGTGTGTGTGTGACTGTGACAGGAACTATACAAGGAATTCCTCAAGATCACAGTGGTGTGGACAAGCCCCCTGCCTAAGATCCTTTCCTACAGTGTCTGCCTACACCAGGGAGCCATCACCAACTCCTACAAGCCCCCCAAACCAGTGGTCTTTGTTTCAAAAACAGCTGAATCTTTAAAAGTGTCCCTCTTGCCCTGACCCCCTTGGGTGTGCCTGTGGTCTGAGGTAGCACGAGTATCCAAATGCCATCTCCTGGTCTTCCTGAATAAACTCGGCTTTGGAGAGTCAGTCTCTCTGCAGCCCATTTTAGGTTGAAAGGTACTATAGGCATATGTTATGGTGGACAGACTCCACCATAGAACTTGTATAACTAAACTGGGTAGGATATGTGTATTATACTCATTTTATTTAAATGTCTGTAGAGGTAGGGGAGGATGTGGGAAAAAGCTGCATTGAGTTTGGGACCAGCTCTGACATTTAGTAGAGAACAGCTTTTCACCTTACAGGCCTTCTGAGTAGCATCTTATTAACCCTGAGTCCTTTCCACTTTTTTTTTTTGAGACAGAGTGCCATCGCATCATAGCTCACAGAAACTTCCAACTTTTGGGCTGAAGCCATCCTCTGGCCTTAATTTTTTTATTTTCATTAGAGACAGGGTTTTGCTTTTGCTCAGGCTGGTCTTGAACTCCTGAGCTCAAGCAATCCACCTGCCTTGGCTTCCCAGAGTGCTGGGATTACAGGCGTTGAGCCCCCAAACTATGAGTTAATAACTTCTCTGTTATTTTGCTATCAAGACCAATGGTCCTTTCAAACTGATGCCAAACCACAAGTAATTCCCAGCTCCAGGAAATGGCCAATTTGTGGATGTGGACATACTTCCAGCTTCAGGATGACCGGCTTTGATTTGACTTGTCTAGTTTTCCACATTTATTTATTCTATAGTTACTTTTTTTTCCCTACAGGGATTCTTGGGAAATTTTCTGTTTAATAATAGAGCTGTGTCATTAATTGTTCTACCAACATGATAAGAAGACTGATCCCTTTGTTCATCGTCACTTAAAGCCTCACTGCCAGAGAGCAACAGGTGTCGTCAGGGGCTGCTGTGCTTGCCATCATGGTTCCCGGAGTGGCCTGGCAGTGTGTCAATAGGCCCCATTTTTTCCTTTTTGATTTTCCCCTCTTCTCTCCTCCCCCCTTCCTTTCCCTTCCCTTTTCCTTCTCTTTTGAGACAAGAGTTTCACTCTGTTGCCCTGGGTTGAGTGCAGTGGCATCATCATAGCTCATAGCAACCTCAAACTCTTGAACTCAAGCAATCCTCTTCCCTCAGCCTCCATTAGTAGCTGGGACTACAGGTGCCCACCACAACACCTGACTCTTTTTTTTCTGTTTTTAGTAGAGACGGGGTCTCACTCTTGCTCAGGCTGGTCTCAAACTCCTCAACTCAAGTAATCCACTAATCCAGACTGCTAGGATTATGGGTGTGAGCCCACTGCACCCAGCTTGATTTTCTTTTATCGTTTCTTTTTTCTTTTTCTTTCTTTTTTTTTCTTTTTTGAAACAGAGTCTCACTTAGTCACTCTGAGTTGAGTGCCATGGCATCGTAGCGCACAGCAACTTCAAACTCTTAAGCTCAAGTGATTCTCTTGCCTCAGCCTCCTGAGTAGCTAGGACTACACACACCCGCCACAATGCTAGGCTATTTTTTAGAGACAGAATCTCACTCTTGCTCAGGCTGGTCTCGAACTTGTGAGCTCAAGCAATTTACCCGCTTTGGCTAAGTAGTGCTAAGATTACTAGCTTGAGCCTAGCCTTTCTGATTTTCTTTTTAAATTTTTTTCAATGTTAATTTTTTCATTTTATTCATTATTAAACTGTTGGAAAATACAAAGTCTCATTAAGATGAAAATAACAGTGAGGTAAATTCCCAACACTCAAGTAATCATTGTTCAAATTTTGGTTTGTTTATTTTTGGTTTGTGCTTTTGTCTTTCTTGTCTACTTTAGCAGTTTTTACTGTAAAAATACAAGGTTTTTCTCCATTAACAGATTCAAGACTGTTAGGACTACAGGTACTAGGTTTCTGCCCATCAGCTGGGGCACTGTCTTGATCAGGCTTGTGCTGCGATGGTGACTAACAAGCCAACTTCCTGGCCTCCCCAGCTGCAACAGTGACGTCTGTTTCACACCACTGGAGGGTGTGCAGGCGGTTGTGTGGGCTGGCCGCCGTTTGAACTTAACTGGTTCAGCTGAACCAGGCTGGAGTCCCAGCTCCTGGTCAGCTTCTGGTCTGCTGTACAGATCCCTGTTTAGGACCAAGGGCTTCCACTGGCCTTCTCCCTTTGCAGAAGATGGCATCTCTAGGAAGGCTGATGGAAATAGCCGTGCATCTTGAGGCCTTTGCTCCAGACTGTGCATGGCCATTCCACCCACATTCTGGTAGCCACATCTAGTCCGTCAGCCAAGCCTGAAGCCAGTGGGGTGGGGAGGAATACTACCCCACAGCAGAGTGTTGCATGCTGGTTTGCTAGGGCTGCTGGAATAAATCAGACATTGGGGGGCTTGAACAATGGACATTTGTCTCAGCTCTGGGTGCTGGAAGTCTGAGATCGAGGCGTGGGGTGTTGGTTTCACCTGCGGCCCCTCTCCCTGACTTGTGGGTGGCCGTCTTCTCCCTGGGTCTCCACACAGTTTTCCCTGCGCATGTCTGTCTCCCAGTGTCCTCCTGTAAGAACGCAAGTTGTGGGGCTGGCGTGGTGGCTCACACCTGTAATCCCAGCAGTCTGGGAGGCCGAGGTGGGTGCATTGCCCTGAGCTCACAGGTTGGACACCAGCCAGAGCCAGAGCAAGAACTTGTCTCTAAAAATAGCCAGGTATTGGCACCTGTAGTCCCAGCTGCTCAGGAGGCTGAGACAAGAGAATCGCTTGAGCCCAAGAGTTTGAGACTGCTGTGAGCTGTGATGCCAGGGCACTCTACCCAGGGTGCTAAAGTGAGACTCTGTCTCAAAAAAAAAAAAAAAAAGAGCACAAGCTGAATTGGATTCAGTCCACCCCATGACCTCATTTAACCTCAATCACCTCTTCAAAGATTCTTTCTCCAAATACACTCACATTCTGAAGTACTGGGGTTAGGACTTCAACACTTGAAGGTTGAACACTGGAGTGGGGTTATAATTCAGCCCCTAACACCTAACCACTGTGGGAAGCTCAGGAAGATTGTGGAGTGAGGCTCAGCTTCCTTGTCTCTGCTGGGAGGTTTTGGGGGTTGAATAGGATGTTCAGTAGAGCTTTGGGGGTGGTGGTGGGAGGGATGTGTGTGGTTCCACCCTACACGGAAGGCCCAGCACTGGCCTTCCTAGGCCTGGCTCCTTGTCCATCTCTCACCTGGGCAAACTAGGAGAACATGGTACTTTTTAGAAGAGCCTGACTCCTATAGAAGCTGTACCTATAGAAGCGGTAAAATCTTCAAAACCAGGAAAGCCAACAGGCCCCCGATCTACGCCCTGGGTTTTGGTGAAACCAAGTTTCCTCCCATGAGCTGTGTCTCTAGTATCTCCTTACAAATATTTCTGGAAGGCCTTCCATGAGTGGCGGGGTGCGGGCGCTGCTGGCTGGCACAGGGCCCTGTGCTCAGAGGGCTCCCTGTGACATGATCAGGGTAAGCGAGCTGGGAAGTCGGAGTGCGGAGGCCTCACCTGCTCCCGTGTTCCACGCCCCCGCCGGACGTTTGCAAACCCCCTTCCTCTCTTCCCTAGAACGTCGTGTTAAGGAACGGCACTGAGGTCTTCGACTCCTGGGAGAAGCCCCCCTTGCCTGTGTACACCCAGTTCTATTTCTTCAACGTCACCAATCCAGAGGAGATCCTGAGAGGGGAGACCCCTCGGTTAGAAGAAGTGGGGCCGTACACCTACAGGTGAGTCCGGCTGCCCTGCGCGGGAACGCGGAATGACCCGGGGCCTGAGTCTCCTGCTCCTCCGGAGAGCGGGGAGACCTCCGCCCTGTGCGCGTGGGAAGCGTGTTTTGCTTCATTATGTCTGAAATGCGCTGAACACCAAGGTGAAAGAAACCTCAGCAGAGAATGGTGTGGACTGGCTGAGTCCCAGCTGTCGTGTCTAGAAACACTTCCTCCTGAGTCGGCAGAACGTGGTTTTTAAGCCATGCCCGGCTACTCCCCACTTCCCACTCCTGGCCCCACCCATTTTTTAATTTTGAGCCAGAATCTCTGTCACGTGGGCCACACTGCAGCGGCATCATCATAGCTCACCCAAACTCCAGCACACAAGTGTTTTCTGGCCTTAGCCTCCCAAATAGCTGGGACTAGGCACCTGCCACAAGCCTGGCTAGTTTTAGAGACCAGGTCTCACTGTTGCTCAGACTGGTCTTGAACTCCTGCCCCAGTCTCCCAAAGTGCTGGGATCACAGGCCTGGGCCACACATCTGCCTTTCCTGACCCCATAAGGTCATAGTTGGATATTCTTTAGTGACTTTAAGCACCCCCCTCTTATTTCCCTTTCCCACATACCTGGTTTTGTTGTTGTTGTTGTTTGTTTGTTTGAGACAGACTCTCACTGTGTCACCCTTGGTAGAGTACTGTGGCATCACAGCTCACAGCAACCTCTAACTCTTGAGCTTAAGAGATTCTCTTGCCTCAGCCTCCCAAGTAGCTGGGACTACAGGTGCCTGCCACAGTGCCCTGCTATTTTTGGTTACAGTTGTCATTGTTGTTTTGTTGGCCTGGGCCGGGTTGGAACCCACCACCCTCAGTGTATGTGGCCAGGGCTGTCACAACTGTGCTACAGGCACTGAGCCCCACCTACCTAGTTTTAAACTAGCTTCCAGAACTTACTGTTGGTCTAGGAGAGGCCCTTCTGTCTTTCATCCACTCCGAGCCATCCTGGGCATGAGCAGTGACTGAGTGGCAGAGTTTACTAGAGTCTTTGGTGTCCAGCCTCCCATCAGTTCCAAATACTGGGAGTCAGGACTGCTTTAATCGCTTTCAGAAAGGTTAGCAGAGGGAGAAGCCTGGGTCAGAGCGCTTTCCCAGTGGTGACATTCCCATTCCTCCTATTGCAATAGTTCTTGCCTCCCCCTGCAATAGCCTTTCCAACAAAGTTTTTAAAAAGATGAACAGAGAAAACTGGCTGCAAGGTCTTTCTTCTTCAGGATTGCTAAATGGTAAAAATGCATCACAAGCCTGTGGTAATCATTGCTCAATAACTTTTTGCCAATTGACTCACTTCTGATGAATCAGGACTATTCTTCGTGCTGGGAGTTCAGAGGCAGAGTCAAGTCCAGCCCTGGAGGCTCATGCTCTGGCTGTGGAGTCAGGTGACCTGCTTTGAATCCCACTCACCAGCTCTCTGCCTCAGTCTCCCTCCTCTGTGTGATCGTTATGGGACTAAATGACCCCTGACTCAGTATCTGTGAAGTGCTGAGACGAGTGCCTGGCGTGGTTAGTGAAGGGGCTTCCTCTCATTATTGGTCAGACGAGTGCCTGGCGTGGTTAGTGAAGGGGCTTCCTCTCATTATCAGTCTCCACGGTTTGTTTCTGTCTGTACCATCAATATGCAGGACTGGGAAGATGAACCGTGTTGTTATTTAAAGGAATTTTAAGAAAACACTTAGGTCCTTATTTTACTTTTTGAGACAGAGTCTTACTTTGTCACCCTGAATAGAGTGCTGTGTTATCACAGCTCACAGCAACCTCAAACTCTTGAGCTTAAGCCATTCTCTTGCCTCAGCCTCCCAAGTAGGTGGGACTACAGACGCCTGCCACAGCACCCAGCTATTTTTTTGTTGTAGTTGTCATTGTTGTTTAGGTGGCCCAGGATGGGTTCGAACCTGCCAGCCCCAGTGTATGTGGCTGGCACCCTAGGGGCTGAGCTATAGGCATCGAGCCTTAGGTCCTTATTTTAGAAAGCACTTTTGTATGTGTTTTATGCCCAAAGAAATTCTGTACTGGGTGCAGCAAGTCTGTATCTGAGGCTTTCCTACAGGTGACAATTACAGGTTGAACCAGGAGCAGGACTTCTAAGTGTCCTCTTGTTTGTTATTGGTTTTTTCAGCTAAATTCTTGAGGTCAGAGGGAGACTCCTCCTCCTTGCAGGAATAAACTTCACCTGAGAACTAAAGGAAAAGCCTCACAATTTTCCTTCTGGGCCTCCCAGCCTGTTCCTCTTATCATTTTTCTGATTTCCTAAAAAAAAAAAAAAAAAAAAAAAAAAGACACTGATTCTTTTTTTTCTTTTTTGAGACAGAGTCGCACTTTGTTACCCTAGGTAGAGTGCAGTGGTGTCATAGCTCATAGCAACCTCAAACTCCTGGGTTCAGGTGATCCTCCTGCTTCAGCCTCCTGAGTAGCTGGGACTATGGGTGTGCACCACAACACCGGCTAGTTTTTGTTTTTAGTAGAGATGGGATCTCGCTCTTGCTCAGGCTAGTCTTGAACTCCTAAGCTTAAGCAATCCACCTGCCTCAGCCTCCCAAAGTGCTAGGGTTACAGGCGTGAGCCACCTCACCTGCCGAAAGACAGAGATTCTAATTATAACCCACGGAAACTCAAAGTCTTCCCCAGCACATCTTAGGCTCCTGTGTCTGTGGCTGAAGTGTGCTCTTTTAAGTGGTTTTCGGAATAAATCCCGGAAGTAGACAGGGTCTGATTCTTGCTGTGCTCCCTCCGTGCCCCATGTACAGGGACCTTACTTAACTAACTTGCTCCTGAGGAAAGTCCAGGAACATTGTACACGGTATCTGTGGATCCTAAGCGGTCACTGGATAGATTCCAGGGTTGTCTGTGACTTGGGAGGCAGAAAATTACATTGTCTTCTCCTTAACCTCGCACTAACATTTAGCATTTCCTTCAAGAATAAACATGTGACAAGTCCTAGAAGTGTTGGCAGCACCTGTGACCTCACCACAATAGCACAGATATTGCTACTTGAAATATTGTTTCTATTACTAAATACCTCAAAATTACAGGAATTATCTGACTCACTGCTGTATCTTCTTTAAAATGTTAATAAATAGGCACACATATTATTATATCTCTGATGCTTAACTGATAACTATATTTCCAATATAACTGGTTTCCTTTGTAATCTTAGGTATTCCGTCTTCTATATTTAAAAGCTTTGATCCGAGAGAGTCCAGAGGTTTTACATAGGCTACCAAAAGGGCCTCTGGCACATAGAAGGTTCACAACCACTAGTGTCTAATGAATATGTGTGCAATAAATGAATGAAATAGCTTCAACCACAGTTCAGACCCATAAGACATAGTGGAGAAATTATTTAAAACCATAGGACACAAATGCAGAATATCTAGAACCCCAGGTCTTAATTTGGGAAACCTAAGGACAGGTTCGAGCAGGGGGAGTTAGAGATGCTCGGCTGTGTCAGGAATGCCCAGGTACCCAGCGCCAGCTGCTGAGGGCACCTGGCAGGGTTGCTGGGCTGTGAGAACTGGGATTTGTAGAAAATCTTGGCTCTGTAGGGAGACATCCAGCCCCCTGCAGCCTATTAGTCTTTTCATTTACCTTGTGCAGTCACTTGGTGGATGTGATTTCTGTCACTTGTGACTTGATTGTGCTATTACTTATGCTGCAGGAGACAGAGCATTCCAGCAGCTCCTGCCCCAGTGCTCCATCCCAGCTGAGTCTGTTGGTTGTGTGCCAAGGGACTTGGGGGGAAGGAGCGGGAGGGCATGTGGCCTTTCCCTGGTTCGTGTGGGTGGTCTGGGGCGGGAGGTCTCTGAGATGGGGGAAAGGCCAAGCCAGGCTGTGGAGGGCCTAACACAGTAGACCACAATTCACAGTGCACATTTCCTAAAACGTCCACATATGGGGGGGTTCAGAACAGTGAATTTTTAGAAAAAGACAATGGTAATTCCACATATTGATAAAAAAACTGGCCAATCTGGTTTAAAGGATATAGTGTATCATTTGCATTTTTGTGAAGCTGTGGCTGGAGCCGTCCTGGGACAGACCTGTTACCACAGTGCACAGTAGGCTCAGGATCTTTCTTACTTATGACTCAGGATCTTTCTTACTTATGACATATTTGCTTAACATTTTTATTTAATTTTTGGTATCCCACGGCTTCCACAATCTTTTTGAGGTTTATTTTTTGTTTTGTCCAGTATCTTTTTCTGTTTTGCCACTATAGTAGGACATCTGTAAGCTGACCACACAAGGGACTGTGACAAAATGGGCAACACACAGAGGTGGTCAACGTAAGGAACAAGGCCTGCTGTGCTGACGCGCACACGTGCACGTCGTCGGCTTGTGAAAATAAGGTCAGTGTAGGGAGGAGGTCAGCTATGGAGGTGCTACTGTATCTGACATTTCAAGTATTTTTTAAAAAACAATTTGTCTAAGGGCTCTTTCAATTAATTTTCATATTTCTAACAAATTTACAGTATCCCATTAAATATCTCCTTTTAAGATTTCTTAGTTTTGGCTCAGCGCCTGTGGCTCAGTGGTTAGGGCACCAGCCACAAGTAGCAGGGCTGGTAGGTTCGAGCCTGACCTGAGCCAGCTAAACAACAACAGCTGCAACAAAAAATAGCCGGGTGTTATGGTGGGCGCCTGTACCCTACTACCACATGACCTTGCACTGCTGGGGGAGAATTCAGTATTTTGAAAAGATGCCTGCACTCCCACGTTTACTGCGGCACTATTCCCAGTAGCCAAGATTCAAAATCAACCTAGGTGTCCATCAACAGATGAGTGGACAAAGAAATTGTGGTACAGATACACAATGGACTCTGGTTCAGCCACAGAAAGAATGAAATCCTCGGGATGTAACCCCGTTTCAGTAGGGAAGCATCTTTCCATACAAGTTTTTACACTTAGCTGCATGTGGTCTACAAGAGGCCTCATGATAAATTCCCTCACAATCTAAATAATGCCACTCAGCGGTTTATAATGAGTGTCAAAGCCATGGACAGATAGCAAGCTCCGTAGGTGGGTGAAAAAAGTCCCCATGTGCCACTCTGGTCAAGAAAGGACTTGGGGGAGCAGGTGAGTAGCCCAGCTACCCAATGCCTTCCTAACCTGTGTATGGAGTATAAGCTCTTAGATTAGCCATGTGATAGCTCACACCTGTAATTGTAGCACTCTGGGAGGCTGAGGCAGGAGGATCCCTTGAGCTCAGGAGATCAAGGCCAGCCTGAGCAACAGTGAAACCTTGTCTCTACTAAAATAGAAAAACTAGCCTGGTATTGTGGCAGGTGCCTATCTATAGTTCCAGTTACTTGAGAGGCTGAGGAAAGAGGATAACTTGAGCCCAGGAGTCTGAGTTTGCTGTGAGCTATGACACCACAGCACTCTACCCAGGGAGACAAAGTGAAACTCTGTCTCAAAAAAAAAAAGTAAAAAGAAATAGGTGAAATTAACTTTATAGTATATTTTTATTTTACCCATTACATCTAAAATCATATCATTTTAACAGGGAATTGACATTAAAAAGGTAAGGTAGTATTTTATATTTTGGGCATTGTGTGTGTTTTTGAAATCTAGTGTGTATTTTACACTTATAACACTTCTTAAATCCAATTAGCCACAGTTCAAGTGCTCAGTAATTGCATGTGACTAGTGGCTACCATGCTGCCTATACTGCCTGGTATAGGAAGAAGGAAAGGTAAGCAGAAAGAGAGGAGGAAAAGACCCTGGAATTTATGGAATATCTGCTGTGAATCAGACATGGCCAGGAGTAGCGTGGGGCATTTGATACTTAAAAGATCAGATTGTTTTTATTTTAAATTTTCATATTTTGTCATCAAAAATTTCTGGTATTAATTTTGATTTTAAGAAATAGTACATTAAAATATTGATTTTGAGTACTGAGTGTCTCAGCACCCCACCTGATGAGTCCTCACTCACATCCCTCAGGCCTAGCCCCGGCTCCATACACCTTTCCAGGAGTTCCTTACTGCTTCTTTTGGGGGCAATAACTCAACCAAACTGAACCATGTATCAGAAATGGGAATGAACTCTAATTTACTAAGCTTTAGGCATCAATTTTTTAAAACGAATTTTCAAATGAATTCAAGTTAGAAATAAAATGGCATTGGTAAACAAATTGAAATTCAAACAATCTATAAATGGAACTGAAAATTCTGAAAATATTTTAGGACCATCCCATAACCCAGGAGGGAGTTTATTGACGTTGATTCCTTGGTCAAGGTGACCTTAACTGTTGTGTTTCCTCAATCATGGTGGAAAGGATGAGCGTGCTTTCAGAAGGCTCTGTTCTAGGCTTCATCTCCTTCCTGCTTTATAGCTCTGACCTCCCATTTGTAAGGGTTTAGTGTCTGCAGTCTCTCTCTCTATAATGTTAATTGGGAATGTTATATTGGTAATGTAACTTTGATGCTAAAAGAAGTATTGATTATGAATGTGGTGCTATTTGAAAATAAAATTATTATTTCTTTTTTTTTTTTTTAGGGAACTCAGACAGAAAGCAAATGTACAGTTTGGAGATAATGGAACAACAATATCTGCTGTTAGCAACAAGACCTATGTTTTTGAACGAAACCAATCTGTTGGAGACGCTAACATTGACTTAATTAGAACTTTAAATATTCCTGTAGTGGTAAGCAGGCATTTTAGTATCATTATTGTGGATTTTAGAATAAAGGAAAAAGTTAATGCTATTACATTAAGAGGTATTAAGTAAGCTAAAAAAATACATATACAAAAAGTACATTTTTTTTTTTTTTGGAAGTTCACCTTAGACTTTTTTCTGAGATCTGTCAAACAAGGTATTTTCAAATGATGACAAAATGCAAATTTTATGATTTGCTTTCACAGTTTCTTTATGTGTTCAGGACTAGCACTTAGGCACATGAATAAGCCCCTAGAACTTTTTGGTAGCTAGTGTTTTTTTTTTTTTGAGACAGAGCCTCAAGCTTTCACCCTGGGTAGAGTGCTATGGCATCATAGCTCACAGCAACCTCTAATTCCTGGGCTCAAGCTATCCTCCTGCCTCTGCCTTCCAAGTAGCTGGGACAGGCACCTGCCACAATGCCTGGCTATTTTTTGGTTGCAGCCATCATTGTTGTTTGTTGGGCCCAGGCTGGATTCGAACCTGCCAGTTCAGGTGTATGTGGCTGGCGCCTTAGCTGCTTGAGCCATAGGCGCCTAGCCAGTAGCTAGTAATTTTAAAAATGTTTGTTTGCCACTTGTTTTGGCTCAGAAATTCTAGCAATGTAATTTACATACCACTTCTTAGTTCAGATTTCTGTCTTGGATTTTATATTCTGGAAAGATATAAATTGACTCTTCCCCTTTTCAGCAGAAAATCAGCAGATGGGCTCTTGCTTATAGCCTACTGTGGTTGTGCTGGGCTCTGTTTACTAATAACCATTCTACACCTTTACCATCCTGAGCCTCAAGACGCTCACACCTCCCCCTTCTGAGGCTTCCACCCCAGTTCTGCTCTGTGAGTGGACCTGGGACCGCGGGAGTATCAGAGCCCAAATCTGTTCTGCGGCCTGGTCGGGTTTATAATGAGGGCACCGCCTATCGCCCACTGAGCAGGAAGGCGGCACCACCTTGTGGCCAGAGCAAGGTGTTTACAAGCGCTTTTCTCCTAGAGCGCCCGGATAACTCAGAGCCTGCAAATGGGGATGCTAAGCTCACTCTCAGAAATTGTACTACTCAGAAAGGACAGTAACCGAAGGGTCTAATCCTTCCCCACGCAGCCAGAGCGCGGCTCACTGGGCTCTCAACCTTCACATTTTAAGTTCCCAACCCTCTTTGTTGAGGGGCCGTAGGGTGTGTGGGAGGGGTCGCTGCTATCTGAATTTGCTTCTGCCCGCAGACCGCCATGGAATGGTCCCAGATCCACTTCCTCCGGGAGATCATCGAGGCCATATTGAAAGCCTATGAACAGAAGCTCTTTGTGACGCGCACAGTTCACGAATTGCTCTGGGGCTACAAAGATGAGATCCTGTCCCTCATCCACGCTTTCAGATCGGACGTCTCTCCCTATTTTGGCCTGTTCTATGGGGTAAGCTGATTTTCCTCTTCAGGGCTTCTTTGCTCAACTGATGGTGGGGAGGGAGCACTCATGGCAAATTTCATCTTAACTTTGGGTTTCTTATAAGACCAAAATCACCTAAAGGCTAGATGTCTTGTAGAGTGTGTGAAAAATAAGAAAATGGGTTTTGGGGGGAGGAAAAGGAAACCCTTGAGTGAAATGGATAGTTAGGAAGTTGGTAAAAGACAGAAGTAACCTCAGGAAGAGAATATTAGATCGGGGTGGGCTCTGGGGTTGTGATGAGTTTGCCCAACTTTCAATTTGTAGTTATTTTTCGATCTGCGTGTTCAAGAGTCTTAACTTTCATCTATCTAGAGATAAAAAGGTTCCCTCAAGGCCCTTCGGGTCCCGGGAAATCTCATTTTCTGTTTTAAGGCTTTGAACTGATTGGGCTACAGAGGGCTGTCTCCGTTACTTAGAATTAACTGAGCATAAATGGCAGTCTCATCTACAGAGGCACATCAGTTTGTGTCTGACCAAGTGACCCAGCACTATAGCCTCAAAGTAACTATCACACTTACTCTAAAGGATTATATTTACTTATTTTCAGAAAAATGACACTAATGATGGAGAGTATGTTTTTCTAACTGGGGAAGACAATTACCTTAACTTTACAAAGATTGTGGAATGGAATGGAAAAACGTAAGTCTAAGGATCATAATTTATCATCATAATTATCTATTTATCATCATAATTTTTTGTTGTTGTTGTTGAGACAGACTCTTACTTTGTTGCCCTTAGTAGAATGCCGTGGAATCATAGCTCACAGCAACCTCTAAATCTTGGGCCCAAGTGATCCTCTTGCCTCAGTGTTTCTATTTTTAGTAGAGATGGGGTCTCTCTTTTGCTCAGATTGGTCTCAAAATCATGAGCACAAGCAATCCACTCACCTCGGCCTCCCAAAGTGCTAGGATTATAGGCAGGAGCCACTGAGCCTGGCCTGTTTAAAACGTTTTTATTTTCTTTTCTTTTTTTTTTTTTTTTTTTTGAGACAGAGTCTCATTATGTCACCCTCAGTAGAGTGCCATGTTGTCACAGTTCATAGCAACCTCAAACTCTTTGGGCTTAAGTGATTCTCTTGCCTCAGCTTCCCAAGTAGCTGGGACTACAGGTGCCCATCACAACACCGGGCTGTTTTCTTTGTTATAGTTGTCATTGTTGTTTGGCAGACCTGGGCTGGGTTTGAACCCAGCTCTGGTGTATGTAGCTGGCGCCCTAGCCGCTGTGCTACAGGCACCGAGCTGTGTTTAAAACATTTTTAAACAAAATTTTTTGTGACTAAAAACATTCACCTTGTAGGTGAAAAATGTATAAACATGCAATATTCTCATAATTATTATTTTACAAATCAAAGCAGGGGCAATACAGTTGATGATTCGCTGATTCATTGATACAAATGAAGTTAGTGATTTGATGTACACTTGTAATCCCAGCTACTCTGGAGGCTGAGGCAAGAGGGTCATTTGAGCCCAAGAGTTTGAGGTTGCTGTGAGCTATGACTCCATGGCATTTTACCGAGGGCACAGAGTGAGACTCTGTCTCAAAACAAACAAAAAACAAATTACTGTAGATTGAGTGGCTTATAAAAAATAGACATTTATTTCTGGCAGTTCTGGAGGCTGGGAAGATTTGGTGTCTGGGAGGGCCCATTTCCTCACAGGGGCTGTCTTCTCACTGTAACTTCACATGACAGAAAGAGGGAGGGAGCTGCTGGGTTCCCTCAAGGGCACTGCTCTCATTCATCAGTGCTCTGTCCTCTGGCCTCATCACCTCCTGAAGGCCCACCTCCTAACACCATCACCTTGGGAGTAGGAGTTCAACAGGAATTTTGGGGGGCTGGGGGGAATAAACATTCAATACATTGCATGTACCATTATTTTAAAAATTAGCTTAACTCTTTAGATTCTTAGGTTTATAGATATTTGACAAACATATTAAGTCAATTTTAAGTCAAATTTACATGTCTTAAAAATTAATTTAAAAAACCTGGTATCTCAGCTGTTTTTCGTGAGCCTGAAGTTGATTCAGGGTTGAGCTTTCTTTAATTCCAAGAGAAGCCCTGTGATATTTTTGGAAGAGAGAAGCGTTCAGAGGGTAGACCGAGTTAATGGTCTGCCGTGAGTGTTACGGAGCCAGACATAGCTATCCAGGGTCCACGGATATGTGGACTGGCTGTGAACAGGCCTTTTTTGGTGCTAGCTATTTTGGATCGCTGCTTTGTCAGTCGGTATTTCTAAACCTCTGTAAGATACACTTCTGTGGAAGAAAGAAAGAGGGGCTTTTGGCTGTTGCCTCTGTGAAAATTGATTTGGAGCCAGGGACCTACTTTTCTCCCCTTTGACCTTGTCCCTAACACTACTGTGTCTGTGGAGGAATAAGACACCATGGGTAGCCAGCTCTAGTTAAACTCTAAAAAATCCTGACCACTTAAAAGAACCTACAATCAAATTGGATCTTCTTTTCTCTTTCTTGTGGTTGTCAATCACAGGTCACTTGACTGGTGGACAACAGAAAGGTGCAATATGATTAATGGGACAGATGGAGATTCTTTTCACCCGTTAATAACCCAAGATGAAGTCTTGTATGTCTTCCCATCTGATTTTTGCAGGTAAGACCTTTAAAATAAGTTATTTTTGCAAAATAAGGTCTTAAACTACAGGGTCACTGACAGGCTGAGAAGCACACACAATACACTTATTATGCACTGACATCTGTGCTGCGTCAGTGACAAAGGCAGAGACTGCAGAGGTTCATGGCATGGGAAGACTCCAGAGCCCAGCTGTGTTGGTTTGAATCTGATCTAGGTTCCACCACTTCTGTCTGTGTGACCTTGGACAAGTTATTTAACCCCTGGGTGCCTCACTTGCCTCATTTGTATAATAAAGATAGAAATAGCTGCCTTCCTGAGGGGTTGTCAGGAGGACAAATGAGATGCTAGCAGTAAAATATTTAGCAGAGGGCCTACTACACAGAAGACAAGGCTGAGTGCTGGCTCTCAGTTACTGTGACACTTCTGTCAGTGTGAACTGACCTCTCTTGCAGTCTCCACACAGACAATATGGACATGACACTACTGTCCCTATTCTGGAGTTCAGAGGCATCTGCTGAGCTGGACCTTCCTGGTGATTTTATGTACTCTCCTTGGCCCATGTACTCTTCCTCCCTCCTGCCCGCCCCTGCTCTAAGACACACCTGGCTCGGTGGCTGGGTGTGAAGAGCATGGCCTCCTCTCCCTGGCTCCCAGGAGCAGCTGCCTGCCCCTGCCCAGCATCCTCAGACTGCTCGAAAGTGTGGCTGACTCATACGGGGCCTTCCTCCCCTCTCTCACCCACTGCTGCAGGGCCTTCCAGGAAACTTCTCCCCACAGGCAGAAGTGCCCTGGTGGCTCTGGACACTAGATTCTTGTGCTCACACTTCTCCAAGTGGCTGTTCTTCCAGGGTTTCACAGCTCACAACACTGCTCTACTTCCTTAGCTGTGAGCACCGCCAGTGACACTGTCCATCTCCCCTGTTGCGCTGATTCAGTCACTGAGCCTCACTGCTCCCTTCTCAGAAGTAGCACGGGAATTCACCCCAGCTCTCTTCCCACCATGTGTGCCAGAGCCCTTCCATCTACAGAGTATCCCCTCCACCTTCTCGCCAACTGCCCTGTCCAGTACATAAGTGCAAATATTCAGTAATGTTTGAAGAAAGAGAAAATGTATCTGAGTGCAAACTGAGTGAAACACGGGAACTCAGAAGTGCTGTAGGAAGTTTTTAAAAGATTTGGCACAGAGGAAATGCATTCTTTTTTTTTTTTTTGAGACAAAGTCTCAGTATATCACTGTTGGTAGAGTACCATGATGGCTCCTCATAACAACTTCAAACTCCAACTCTTGGGCTTAAGAGATTCTCTTGCCTCAGCCTCCCAAGTAGCTGGGACTACAGGTGCCTGCCACAATGCCCGGCTATTTCTTTTTTGTTGTTGAAGTCGTCATTGTTGTTTTGGCAGGCCTGGGCTGTGTTCCAACCCACTGGCTCTGGTGTATGTGGCTGGTGCTCTAGCTGCTGAGCTACGGGTGCTGAACCAGGAAACACATTCTCATCTGGTCTATCCACTTTGGAGAGCCACTTGGTAATAGGCAGTAAAGCCAAAGACATGCGGACCCCACATTTCTGCAGTTCTCCCCCAGCAGGTCCCCAGGATGAGGAACTCTTTTGTACACGTGTAAGGAGTCATTTATACAGGAACATTCCCAGCAGTGCTGTCATGGTGAAAAATTGGAAGCAATCTAAATGCCCATGAAAAGAAGAACATAAATAAATTAGGGTAGAATATCCTATATGATGGAATATCATACAGATTGCAAATAAAAGAAATAGAGCTATGTACATCAATATAATAAATCTTAAAAATATAATGTTAATGAAGAAAACATTCACCAAAAGGGATGGTGATATGCTATGGAAATAACATTTACTAAAAGCAGCCAGTGCTGCTGATGCTAGTGATGAATATGTGTGTTTGTAAAAGTATAAAGATCGGCATGGAAGCCACAGACCCCAGTTGCAGGTTGTGCTTCCCTCAGGGGAGGCAGAGAAAGCAAAGTCAAGAGCACTGTGTACAGAGCTTCAGCTGTATTCATAATATATTTTTTATTTAAGTGATGAATACAAGGGTGCTTGCTATATATAGTATTTTTTTCTATCTTTCTGTTTCCTAAAATTATTTCACTAAAAAATGCTGTAGTGTGCAGTATGTCCTGGGGGCAGCTCTCATGTAATTCACAACCTTTTGAGAGTTGTGGTCAATACCTTCGGTTCAGAGATGAAAAAGTGAGGCCCACCACACCTGTCAGCCTTCAAATGAATGGTGGGAAGGTTGGCGGTGACAGAGTCAAAGTGTGTTGTTGGTAGGGCCCTATGCAAATGCAAGGGTGGTCACAAGGGATCGTGTTTGAGACTCAGTAAGAATGGAAGGCAGAATTATGTTGAACTCCACTGAAATAAATGACTGGGCAAAAGATGGAAAGTGCTTATTTTTATTTGGGAGGTGGATATCAAAGGATGTGTTCTAATCAAATATCTATCCAGCAGGACACTTTGTGAGTTAAGATGCTACCAGGTCAGGTCCACTGCGGCCTTTTCTTCTTTTGCCTCTGCCCCTATCCATGTGTGTCCATGCTAGTCTGCATCCATTATTATTTTTATGTGAGTCTTTATTACAGCTTTTCTTTTTGAGATATAGTCTCACTCTGTCACCCTGGGTAGAGTGCCATGGCAGCACAGCTCACAGGAACCTCAAACTCTTGGGCACAAATGATCCTCTTGTTTCAGCCTCTCAAGTAGCTGGGACCACAGGCACTCGCCACAATGCCCAGCTATTTTTAGAGACTGGGTTTCACTCTTGCTCAGGCCCCATCTCCGACTCCTGAGCTAAGGTGATCTACCCACCTAGGCTTCCGAGAGTGCTGGGATTACAGGCATGAGCCACCATGTCTGGCTCATGAGTCTCCATTCTAAATGTTATCTTCTTAATTTTCTATTATACGCTCTGTTTTTTTGTGGCCTTGTTTGGATATTATCATAGTTGCTACCTCTTAAACATCTTCCACTACAATTAATCTATTTCATTACGTGGTGAGTTGGCAAAGCTTCTTTGAAGCATTCTTTTGCCTTTCCATTTTGTACTTAACCCTGTCTGCTTCTAGCTATGTTGTGCCTGAGAACTATGGCTAGCTTACTGAAGCCCACTCTGACGTTTTTTTTCAATGAACCTGACATTATGAGCTTACCACACTGGCTTTCTATTCTTACTTCCTAACAGGTCAGTGTACATAACTTTCAGTGACTTCGAGAGGGTGGAGGGACTGCCTGCCTTTCGGTACCGCGTGCCGGCAGAAATACTAGCCAACAGCTCCGACAATGCTGGGTTCTGCATCCCTGCAGGAAACTGCCTGGGCTCAGGAGTTCTGAATGTGAGCATCTGCAAGAATGGTAAGAACCCAGAGAGGGGCATGATTATGGTTGTTTAGAAAGCAGAAGGACTAGAGTTGTGGTAAAGAATAGAAAGAACCACATGACTTTTCAAGAATAATGTTTCTGAAGCCGGGTAGTGGCGCATGTCTGCTGCTAGGTACTGTGAGGCTGCAGTGGGAGGACCCCTTGAGGCTAGGAGTTTAAGGCTGCAGTGCACTGTGATTACACCTGTGAAGAGCCACTGCACTCCAGTCTGGACAACATAGTGAGACCCTATCCCCCTAAAAAAATTAAAAATAATGTTTTGTAATATGGTTATTTAATGGTAAAAAGAATGATTCTTGGCTTTTCTGCGATGCTTTTTATTTCTAGAATGCCATGTTGTGTGCTTTTTCCCTGGAATAGTGATGATGTTGTAACAGTTCATGCTTTCTAAGTGCTCAGCATGTGCCACGCCAGTCACTGTCCTCAGTGTTCACATATTTACATGTGACTAATACATGTAAACCATTACCTGATTTCATGGGCAAAACAATGCTAAAAGATAAAGTGGATGACTTGGTTTTTTAAAAAGTCAGTATCTTGGCAAAGATTTTCAGTGACTTTGAAGTGGTTAGTTTAAACCCTGACCACAAATCTCCCAGTATTCCTTCAGGTCTGCGTCTCTCCATGAGTGAGGTCGAATGGTTAGGGAAACAACTGGGGAAAGTATTTTCTTCGTATTGAAGACTAAACAGCCTTGTGTTGTAGAATTGTGCACAACAGCCTTACTAGACGACCAGCCTCTTTTTGTAACTATGGGAACTAGGGCTTGGGGACAGGATTTTTCCAAAACTTGTCTCTGGGCACATCCCTGCTAGAACGTAGGGTCTTTTCTTATTTGTACTGTAATTCCCTTGTAGGGCTATAAGTTCCTCTTTAAAGTTTCTCCTGGGAGTGTTCCTCTTTGTAGTTCCCTTTTTTTGAATAAAGCTGTCCTTTTCTCTTGAGTAAAATAATGTTCTAATGCTATTCTCATGTCTAGTTTTATAAAATCTCCTTTTGGGAGAAATATGAGGTGAGCAGTATCCCTCCCGATCTTTATCTGGCAGAGTAGTGACCTTATACTGACCTTACATCAGAATTGTCTGGAGAGTTAATAAAAATATATGACCCAGGGTCCCATGCTGAACAAACTAGGGCCCCAGAATCTACCCTCTTAACAAGTACTCCAGACAATTCTCATAAAGATGCTGGCTAGACCTCCAGACAGTTCTCATAAAGATGCTGGCTAGACATTTGGGGACCACTGTGCAAGGGAGCATGATACCCCTTACCAGGAGATGAAGACCAAGTGATGGGGTCAAGTTCCTAGTTTTGATCTCTCCTGTTGTTTTACTAGGTGAATGTCCCTGAAAGTGTCCCCGTCCACACCCCCCCAGCCCACTGTGCATCTGCTTTAAGACACAAATCTAAATAGATTTTTTTTTTTTTGGCTGTTTTGTTAATATTCTGCTTCCTTAAGAACCTAATGTCAGGGCTTGGCGCCTGTGGCTCAAGTGGCTAAGGTGCCAGCCACATACACCTAAGGTGGCGGGTTCGAATCCAGCCTGGCACGCCAAAACAACAATGACGGCTGCAACCAAAAAAAAAAAAAAATAGCCAGGCGTTGTGGTGGGCACCTGTGGTCCCAGCCACTTGGGAGGCTGAAGTAGGAGACTCGCTTGAGCCTAGGAGTTGGAGGTTGCTGTGAGCTGTGATGTCACAGCACTCCACCCAGGGGGATAGCTTGAGGCTCTGTCTCAAAAAAAGAAGAACCTGATGTCAGGATCAACTGTAAGATTCTACTTTGCAGCATTAGACCTCTTGCTACAATTCTTTTCCTCTTGCCTGTGATAAATTCCCAAATTTGAGCTGATGAGTGAAATTCTCCAGAACTATCCCACATGTTCTCCAGGGGTACATTTTGGATAGTGGGATGAGAGTCAGGCAAATCTGGGTTTGAGTCCTATTCTGTTTGCTGGCAGTTAGCCAAGCTGATTAAGAAGGTTTCAGACATAAGTCTTCTCATTTGTAGAATAGGGGTGAATATAACTTCTTGGAAAGTTATGTGAGAGTTAAAGTATATAAAACACTCAGGATGGTGCCTGGCTCTTATTAAGCCCCCAAAAGACTTAAAAATATATATTTTAAAGGTCACTGAAGGAAACAAAGAAGGAGCTGGTGGCTTTGGAATTGTCTAGCAGTAAAGAGCAAAGTACTTGTGGATGTGAGATGATGTACACCTTGAGCCATGGGCTGGTGGATATAAAAGCAAATTTAAATTATTTGCCAGTAACCTCACTTCCCCCCAAATTTATTTCCCTGGCAATTATTGGATTTCTGTCTTCTTTTCAATACCTAGATCTAAGTTTCCTTTAATAATTTGCTTCCTTGTTTGGTTCTTAAAATATATAGGAAAGAAAAAAAGCCTAGAGTCTTCATGATGTGATTAGAAGCTGGGCAAACAGCACAACTAAGCAAACTCTTAAAAAAAATCTACATTAACATATCCAGGAGAACAAAGTCTAGCTTTGGTAAATTAACTTAAAAGAACACAGAAACAAGCACACACAAAAAAAGTGCATTTACTGACAGAGAATTATAGTTGAAAAAAAGTGCTTTGAGGTATATCTTTGGTTCACTTAGAATTCTGCCTCCATAACCTGCGGGATAGAAGTCTCTGGATAGGCTCGGTGCCTATGGCTCAAGTAGCTAAGGCGCCAGCCACATACACCTAAGGTGGCGGGTTCGAATCCAGCCCGGCCCACCAAAACAAGGACGGCTGCAACCAAAAAATAGCCGGGCGTTGTGGTGGGTACCTGTGTGGTCCCAGCTACTTGGGAGGCTGAGGCAAGAGACTTCCTTGAGTCCAGGAGTTGGAGGTTGCTGTGAGGTGTGATGCCACAGCACTCTACCCAGGGGGATAGCTTGAGGCTCTGTCTCAAAAAAAAAAAAAAAAAAAAGTCCCTGGATAAATTTTGTAAATTCTGTGAACCTCATTTTTTTTTTTTTTTTTTTTTGAGACAGTGTCTTACTTTGTCACCCTCGGTAGAGTGCTCTGGCATCATAGCTCACAGCAACTTCAAACTCTTGGGCTCAAGCAATTCTCTGGCCTCAGCCTCCTGCGTAGCTGGGACTATAGGCACCTGCCATAACTCTTGGCTATTTTTAGAAATGGGGTCTCGCTCTTGCTCAGGTTGGTTTTGAACTCCTGAGCTCAAGCGATCCACCACCTCAGCCTCCCAGAATGCCACTGTGACCTGCTAAACCTCAGTTTCTTTAAATGCAAAATGAGAACAACAGTTCTAAGTTCATTGGGCTCTTGGGCCTATAGTGCATACGAAGGACTAACACTCCAGAGGTTCAGTAAATGTCTGCTGAAGAATTAATAATTTAGCCAAGACTTTAATACATAATGTGTGATAAAATACTGTGGGGGCAAATGAGATTCAGAAAATGAAGTATAAACCCTGAACAAGACGGCACAGAGTGGTATTTTAGTTTGCCATCTTTCCCCAACCCCCACTTTACTTTTGATAGATTTTTTTTTAATCTTTAGGAACTATGCTAAATCTAAATCCATCTTATATTTTAAGAACAGCATCACTCATTTCTGTTTTCCTTAAAACACAGGTGCACCCATTATTATGTCTTTCCCACACTTTTACCAAGCAGATGAGAGGTTTGTTTCTGCTATAGAAGGCATGCACCCCAATAAGGAGGATCACGAGACATTTGTGGACATTAACCCTGTGAGTACACACTTCTTCCTGGGAAAGAGCGTGTGTTTTATCCTGTCCTTACAGTGTTCACTAGTTCAGTTTTGAGTATTTTTGAAAAACATACTATATTTCTTTCATATACATAAAAGTGGGAGAAACAGCTTAGAGCAAGTTGAGACATAGTCTTCGCTGAATTCTGTGGATCTAGTAGAAATACAGCAAACCTGCTTTAATAAGAAAGGAAGGCTGAAAATTCAGTCACTGGAAAACAACTCAGAATGGCCCATGGCACCTGGTCAATCTTCTATTTCCTGTCTTGGACCTGAACATATACTCATTTCTCCTATTTGGCCACAGAGCAGTTACATTCAAGATGTCTCTTAGCTTTCTCACTGTCAGGAATATTTTGGTTAAAATTTAAATATGTATATTACCTTCAGTCACTTTTGGTAAATCTCTTTCTTGAGGTATCTTTGGAAGTTTACTATATTGTTAATTTAGAAAGTATCAGGTATAGTATAGATGAGGTCTGATGGTTAAGTTGCAAACTTGCGATCCTGTGCTTATGTTGGCAGCACTGTACAAAGATGAGAGACTTTATACCCTCGGCAGATCAGTGTCTCACAGCTGTGTTTGTGTCAACATGGTATCTTGTTGAGTTTCAGTCATTATTGTTGTTGTGGGTTTTTGTGTGCTGTTGCAAGAATGTCAGAGCTTGAATTAGAGCAATGAGCAAATCTTACATTTCTTGTTAAGCCTGACAAGAATGGAAGTGAAATCAGGAATATGTTAGTCCAAGTTTGTGGGGCTAATGCTGTGAAGAATATGGCAATGTACACGTGCATTAAACGTTTTTCTGAGGGGAGAGAAAGAAATTAGTGTGGGCAGTAAAGAGCAGAACTGATGAACCACTGCAAAAATTTGTCAAATTGTGTGTCAAAATTGTCAGCTGACTGTGAGAAGAATAGCAGATCAAGTAAACATCAATAGAGAAACAGGAAAGTCTTAACTGAAAATCTTGGCATGAGAAAGGTACATGCAAAAATGGTCCCAAAAGAGCTCCTGATGAACAAAAGCAAAGGAGACTCAAAGTTTGCCAAGACCTTTTGTTGAGGCAAGACACTTGGACTGTGTTATCACAGGTGCTGAAACATGGATGTACCAATATGACTCTGAAACAAAGTGTTAAAATGCACAATGAAAGTCCGCCAGTTCTGCATGACCAAAAAAGTTCTGTCCAAATCCAGAGTCAAAATGATACTGCTAACCTTTTCTGATATCAGAGGGATGTCATTTTGAATTTGAACTAACTGGACAAATAGTTAACCAAGTTTACTGTTTGGAAGTGCTGAAAAAGCTATGTGAAAAGTTAGATGAAAACAACCTGAACTTTTTGCCGACTACTCACGGCTCTTGCATCATGACAATGCACCAGCTCACACAGCACTATCTGTGAGGGAGTTTTTAGGAGTTTTTATAGTAAACAAATAACTGTACTGGAACTCCCTCCCTACTCACCTGATCTGGCCCTAGTGATTTTTTTCTTTACCCGAAGAAAATGAAAATATTGAAAAGAAAACATTTGATGACATTCAAGACATCAAGGGTAATATAACAACTGTTGTGCTGGCCATTCCAGAAAAAACAAGTTCCAAAATTGCTTTGAAGTTTGGACTGGGCACTGGTGTCAGTGCATAACTTCCTAAGGGGAGTACTACAAGTGATCCCAGTGATATTCAGCAATGAGGTACATAGTGCTTTTTGATGCATTCATGAACTTAATTGTTAGACCCATATGACTTTAATCCTTTATTCATAGAGGAGAAAAATGAAATCCATGGATGTGAGCATCATGTCACAATGTGAGAGCTTCTCGGTGTAGAAAGGGTAGACATCTTCATGGTTGAGACTGAACAGTGTGGAACAATACAGAGAAGCAAGAACATTCTTTTAGCATAGAATTTTATGCCCTTCACTCTTCGCCACACGCATTGCATTTGTATCTGAGAAGCCAGTGATCTTATCCTCTGGTGAATAAGTTCAGGTATAGTTGTCTGCCTTTTTTCTCTTAGTCATCAACTGATCAATTCCTTTCCATCAGCCAAAATGATTAGCCCTGCTTGTCACCAAGGAATGATCACAGTCCTGTGTCCTGGGTAGAAGCAACCACCATCCTCTTCTCAGCTCTTTGGACAGCGGCTGGACTATGCAGATCTGACTGGCCATCTGCAGAGTCTTCCTTCACAGTCCACTATTCAAAGTGGCAACATCCTGGGAGCTTGTTAGAAATACCTAGTTTCAGGCCACCTCAGACCTACCGAATCGGAGTCTGCATTTCAACAGGATTCTCTAGGACTGGTGTCCATATTAAAGTGTGAGGGGCACTGGGCTACCAGGCACCTAACAGAATCAATAGTTCCTGTTTTGTTCTGGGGATCAGTTTCCCCTTGTCCCACTCTGCCTGTCAAACACAGTGATGGCCACTCTGTTTATTGGAATGACACAGAAATGATATTTTATTGAAAAAATTATGTTTGCAGTTTAATGAATCCTAATGTTTTCTTCTCACTTTTCTGATCTGCAGTTGACTGGAATGATCCTAAAAGCAGCCAAGAGGTTCCAAATCAATGTTTATGTCAAAAAAATTGACGAATTTATGTAAGTTTCACTTCTTTCTACCGAGGCAACGAGTGGCTCTGCTACGTTGCCTTTCTGGTGGGTCTGACGTTGGGGGTACAGCCTGCTCCTGACTTCTGCTTGTCCCTGCCCATCAGGGACAGGAGTTAGTCAGCATTTTCGTGGGTGCCTTGACCTTGAAATATAGGGGAACCTGCGATCTTAAGGCCACACGTGCCCCTCCAGATCCTCAAGTGTGGCCCTGTGTCTGAATCCAAACTTCGCAGAACAAAGGATTTGTTCTGTAAAATTTGGATTCAGTCAAAAGGCCTCACCGAAGGATCCAGAAGGCACAAGGCTGTAAAAAGAGGCACGGAGAATTTAAGTAACTTGCTGGAACTCACACAGCGAGTAAGGCGGTGTGGCTTCCAAGTCAGCTTTGCTCTCTCCACAAAGCCCTTCCTCACCACTGTGACTCTAGTCACTATCTGTTACTCTTCTTGTTCTCTGCCCATCTGGGCCCAGCCACAACTCCATTTGGACAGTTTAAACAGTCACACGAATGTGCCTTCCCCCCACCCTAATGCCATCTATAAAGCGCTACTTAATATTGGATTCCTAAGTATAATCTCCTGCTCAAACTTTTCGATGGGAATTTTTTGGATATGAAAAAATGCTTATGACATGATGTTGAAGGAAAGAACAGGATGCAAAAGTACACATACCACGTATAATACCTCATCTCTGTCTGTAAAATGTGGTTTATTTCCCCCACTGAATCTGATTTAATCCCACACGTCATAAATCTGTATAACAAATCAACCGCCATGTGAATTGTATTTAACTTATGCTAGTTTTGAGCCTAGGGCCTCGTGAATCATATATAACGCACATGTTAACGCACATGTCTCTTGACCTAATAAAACACCATATCCCCAAGGAAAAATTTCTTTCCTAGTGTGGCAGTCAGTATGTTAAGAAGCAAACATAGTTTGCAGGAACGCATTTTCACACTTGTATCTGTATTTCTGAGGCTTCATGGCTTAGTTAAGAGCTAGAACCTAGACCCAACATGGAATTACAATTCTAGGCCCACGACTTACGCCTGGTGATCCTGGGCAAATTACCCAGCTTCTTGAAGGCGTAGTTTTCTCTTGTAAAATCTGGTACAGTAGTACCTACAGGATCTGACTGCTATAAGAATCTAGTGAGATAATGTCTCCAAAACACCCACACACAGCTGGCACATGGGAAGCACTCAGCTGGCTCTTGCTGCAAAGATGGCTCTTCAGTGGCCAATTTACAAAACACTCTGGGGAGTGATGGCATTGTTTTGCAGACAAGATTCTTGCTTGTGATGACTCTAGGGAGAACAGTAACAATTCTGATAAATCTGCCAGTATCTTGCTTTTTGGTAAAAACACTATATAAACATGCAGCACTTGGAATTGCTAGGCTGACAGCCTGGAATCTAACTTCCGATTTATATTTGTTTGCAAAGATAACTAAGAAAAAGGTAAATTCGAGGTAATTTAATGAAAGTAAGCATATCAGAATTTTCATATGAACTTGTCTCTCCAGGGGGTTGTGCCATCCTGAGGATGTCTATCAAATAATCTCATTCTTTGTCTTTGCAGTGAGACGGGAGACATCAGAACGATGGTTTTCCCAGTGATGTATCTCAATGAGGTAAGTCCTGAGAGGAGGAGAGCCGCAGGTGTGTTTTTTAGCTGTCCACGCTCAGACACCTCCACTGTGACGTCTACTATTGTAGCTATGTGTAACTTGAGATATGGAAAATGAGGAAAAGATGCTTTTTAAAACCTGTTTGTCCTCAGAAGTTTTCTCTTAAATGTTTACATGAACCTGCCTGTATCTGAAAGGTGATTTGGAGAGATGATAGAAAGGAACATTTGGGCAAAACTCCCCTCATGGGGGCTGCTCACGGAAAGGTCACATTACCTGGACGCTACCGGATGCCGTCGGAGCAGGGGAGGCAGCCGGCACGCAGGCAGGAGTCCAGTTAAACCTTTTTTGGTCTCCTTTGAAACCCTATCTGTTTAAGACACCTGGGATGAATTATTTACTAAATCCTGTATCACATTTACTGTATTTTACTATATTTAGTAATTTCCTATATTTATAGTAATTTGTAAATTTACTATATGTTACTATATTTACTATAGTTCTAAATCCTCAGTTTCTCCCTTTCTTCCATCCAGTTTTGAGGGGGAAAAAAATGTAGGTTTTTCTCCTTCAATAAATTCTCAATTGGCAGACTTCTGTTATTAAGAGTAGCATTTTTAAAAAGTTTTTATTATTTTCCTCTGTTCCCTAACAATACTTGCATTTTGAAGAGATTGCAGTATCTCTGTTACTATTGCATTAGTAACAGATTAGCAAGAAAAAAAGCTAAAATTAATATTCACAAAATGTACACTAGCCTTATATATTGTTTTTATTTGATTTTACTTAATGTAGTATTTTTTCCAATAACGGCTTAAAAATAAATTTAATGTTTTTACATTTTATAAAACATGCTGTTTATAGAACTCTTGGACAATTTTTTGAAAATCTGTTTACAAAGTAAATCACTGATAAGCCTCTCAGACAGGTAGGGTTGGAGCTTCAGAAGTTTCCTCCTGGTGTTTTTCTGGTTTGATATCACTCAGTTACAGTCACACAGTTTTACATCTTTCCTTCTCTCAGCATTGCAGTGGTAGCTACACTTACCAGCTTGTGCAGGACTTGTGATAACAATTCTAAGATAAAGCTTTTCTATTTCACAGGAGAAAGTTCAGGCAGTATTTCCCAATGTACAGGACCCATTTGGGGTTGCTCCTGGACCATCACGCTACTTACTAGTTGTGAGGGGAGGCCTGGAAGTAAGACTTGGAAAGTGCACAGCAGCCGCTTTCACCAGCCTATGCCCACGGAAGTGGCAAATTTAAAGTCTCTTTTACCTCCAACTTTGGCTTTGCTTTTTTGTTAAAGACTAGATTGAGCCCAGGGACGTAGAGTGAAACCTTAATGCTTTTGCTGCTTCCTGAAAAGAGCCTGATTTTCCTCTTCTTTAGAAAAATAAAATATAATACCTGGACGTGGCTGGACACTACTGCCTTTTTACAGAGGAGGAAACTCTAACCATGAGGGCCCTTGGCTGTTTATTGGAAGAACTGTCCTAGAACCTATTCTTCTGACTTGGTCCAAAGCAAATTAGGCCAAAATTAAGCTACAACTGTCATTCATAATTATTATGGAATTAAGCTCTTTAGATAACCTGCCCATTCCACTTGGTGACAGTGTCTCTGTTCTACACACAGAGAATGTTATTCTAACACATTTCCTTAGCTATCAACAGTCTGGGATTCTGGTTAGCCCCACAGTAGGGACCTCTGGTCCTGGTGTGAGCCACTGGGCCCGGCCAAGAGAGAAGACATTAATGAATAAATGCCCCTCTGTTTAGTCTAATTTATAAATGGATTTTTAGTATGTCTGGTTTGCTAACAGGGCATACCCAAATTGTGTTTAATGATTTTAAAAAAGATATAGCAAAAACAGTTACACCCTCAGTGTTTAGTCATCAAGGGAACACTCCTTTCTTGCCCCTCCAGAGTGTTCTCATTGATAAGGAGACTGCAAGTCGCCTCAAGTCTGTAATTAACACTACTTTGATTATCACCAACATCCCGTACATCATCATGGCGCTGGGCGTGTTCATTGGATTGATCTTCACCTGGCTTGCGTGCAGGGGACAGGGGTCCATGGATGAGGTGAGTCCTGGCTGAAGGAACTTCTCCCTGGATAACTTTACCTGAGGAGTTCCTCAACTGTGCTTCATTGAAGGGCTGCCAACAGGCCCAGGAGGATGGATTCTGGGGTTTTGTGCTGGGCATAGTGATTCTGTGGTTATAATACCACTGGAACAAATGGGAAGGGCAGAGTGTCAAAGAAGGTGGGTGATTGCATCTAGTATTTAGCGGATGGGCTCCTTAGATGTATGTGGTGGGAGTTAACTTCATGTCTTTGAAAATAAGCTGAAAGAAAAGGAAGAATATAACAGGCCCCTGGATGAGGTTAGGCCTGAATCTTAAAGAATCAGGCCAAGAGGGATGTGAGGTGAACCACTTCCCGTCAGTCTTTCCTCACACGCTCCTCCATCCATGCTGTGGAGACGTGTCTGACATGAACACTTGTTTCCCCATCTTCTCTCTCCTGTGTCTCAGGGAACGGCAGATGAAAGAGCACCCCTCATACGAACCTAACCATCGCCTGAGCTTGGTGAGGGAACCCTGGGAGCTGTTCTGCTGGACCCCAGCGGTGTGGGGACACTCTCCACAGCCTTGCAGGCCTGCTGCCTGCGGGGAGGGAAAGACGCAGGCTGGCAAGTGAGAGCATTCTGGCCAGAGGATAGAGAACAGGCTGACAGGGCTGGCCATTGTGCTTTGTTAAATTATGCGGTCTCTGAAATTGTTTTTCATATGTCTGGCAAGTATTTAATAAATCTTGTATAGTAATTTTTTGTTGTTGGGTGTGGGGTGTGGTAGCTCCAGGATTTTGTGACCACTGTTGTGGATAAATGTCTGCATCACTTGTTCATGCCGCTTGGTCTAACTCTACCCACTATGCTTCACTCAGCAGACTCTGTGCTCACGATCCGTGTAGACTACTTTATTGTATTTCTCCGTTTTATTCCCATGCAGAAGTAAAGAGTTCGGAACCAGGGTAAAATGGTAGCCTCCTCTGATAGATCATTCAAATGCTTCTCATTTCTTTTTTTTAAAACATTACACAATTGCATTTTATGCTAATATTCAGTTCATAATTCCTCCAGAGAAATAACTCAGTCTTCCAACTACTTTTATACTGGGTAGGAGTCAAGTGGGGAAGGGAATAGGGAGGGTGATACTGAAGAATTGGTAGTATTAGGCTCCTAAGGATTTTTAACTTGTACTTTTGTGAACCGAGAGAATGCGTAAATAATACTGGTGAGGATAAGTACAAATATCTCATGTAGTGTAGAATTAAAGCTAGTTATGACACTTGTAAATAGTTAACCGTTATGTTTTAGTGAAAACAATTTTGATGTGGAAAGATACTTCTGGAAAAACATGATCAGTAACCAATTTATTTTCCCCAGTCGAGCCTGCCAAATGTGAGACTCTATTAATTAACACACTATTGAGTGATGATTTGTTAAATTATGAATATAGGAAATCCATCCACCCACAGCCCAGGATACACATGAACTTAAGGACGTCTGGTGAGACTAAAGAGACGTTTCTTCTAAGGCAGTTTTGGTAACACTGAAATCGTTTTTCTAAGTCCTTTCCTTAGACTCAGTTCCTCCCAGTCTCTCATGGTGCACTGTCACTCACTGAATAGAGAAACGTGCTCTCCACTCCCCATGATGATCGTTTTGCTGGCAGAATGATGGACATTTAAAATACTGTACAGGAAGTCCTTTAAAGAAAGGTCTCTGGGGACCATAAGCAGAGCTACCTCTCTTCGAAAGACTTCTTGGTTCCAGGGTAACCTAAGTCAGAGGTTTCAGGAGCCATCCTATGTCACAGTATTAGAATTCCAGCATATTTAAAAGCATTTTCTTTGATTCTCAAACTTCACCATTCATTTTTAATTGAGAAGCCTACACAGGTATCTGGCAAAGTGCTTACAGAATTTCTTAACAACAGAAGCATTCTAAGGGATTTTTTTTTTTTTTTTTGTCTAAAACTAGATTTCAGTGTAAACAAATAAAAGAGAAAAAAGTCACAGATTTCATACACATAGCTTCTCATCCCTATGTGGAGGTAATAAATTGCTTTAATATATGTAATGTATATACCCAATTTTTCCTCTGTCTACACTAAAGTAGTATGTGATATGTGTCCCTTCTTGAAAGGGCAATTCATTAAACTCTCAATTTTCTATAAATCAAGATATCCCAATTCACCAGAATGTGAAAAACTAAATAAAAATCTTTTATCTTTAATAATGTTAAATACTGGGCGGTGCCTGTGGCACCCCTGACCCCATATGCCTGAGGTGGCGGGTTCAAACCAGGCCCCAGCCAAAAACTGCAAAAAAAAAAGGTTAAATACCTAGACTTTGAAAATTTACCAATATTTAACTAGATCATTGGGATATTTTATTTGTATATGAACTTATCCACGCCAATAAAACTGATGGGCCTGTGCATACTTACTTGCTCAGTCCTATTATCAACTGTGAGGAGGAAACTTCAATACTGTAAATGATAACAGTTAATGAGGTCCACATTTGGACTGAGTCTCACACTGGCAGAGGCCACATTAATTCTGTATTTGTGTCATGATTCCTTTTTTTTGGCCAGGGCTGGGTTTGAACCCACTGCCTCTAACATATGGGTCCAGCCCTCTACTTCTTTGTGCCACAGGCGCCACCCTGTGTCATGATTCTTTTTTTTTTTTTTTGCAGTTTTTGGCCAGGGCTGGTTTGAACCCACCACCTCCGGTACATGGGGCCGGCGGCCTATTCCTTTGAGCCACAGGCACTGCCCCGATGATTCTTAGTAAGTTACTTGGCCCAAATCACGTTTGCCATATCCCTTCTGAAAAGTGTGAGGCAAACCTATAATCTGCTTTTGAAGTTATAGACTGGTTAAGAATAATAATGAACCCAGTCTTCTATTTGGTTTCAGGTTAAAAATAACTACTCCTGTGCTCATCCTCTTACAGCCATTATCCTGGACAGACCCCAAAGACTCTGTGACTGTCAGCATTGTCACACCAGAAAGTGCAGGCACCCCTGCCCTGACACTCCATCTAGAGAGGGAGAAGCCAGGCAGCCAGCTTAACTCACTTCTCTCAGGGCAAACTGGGAATTGAGCACGAGACAGAACATGGGCTTTGCACTGGTAGCTCCAGCTTTCCCCCACTACACTTTATTTCCTTATGTTCTAGAAAGATCACTAATGGTCAAGTGGAGCAAGTACTACTCGACTAACCCCTATTGGGGTTTTTACTTAAGGTAGGCTACTTTTTAATTTAAACTGCTCTAGATAGGAAGATAGGAATGCTGTAAAAGGTGATGCTCGCACTTGGCCCTCTGGGCATTGACTGGAGTGAACTGCTTATGCCTGTTAAAGAGAATACTGACCAGAATGCTCTTCATGTAGCTTATACATATGATTCATTTGATGTGATTCTTGACATGTTTATTTCTACCCTTAATGCAATAAAATGTTTCACTAATAAAAAAAAACTTTATACAAATTTGCTTTGGAAGTCATGTCATCAGATGTCTCATTGTGTATGAAGTCTCATTTGAAAGATCTTTCCTGACGAATCAGCCCTGAGTCACACCCCTTGGACCATCTGACTTCAGCTCAGCTGTTGTGGGCAGTTATAGGCAAACTGAGAAGTGCCACTCCAAGCAAGTCCCACACTCTGCTTTTCTGATTCAGGGCTTTTCCCGGAGGCCAGAAACCCCACAGGAATATGTGGGAGTTGATAACCCAAGGCAACCCCCTACCAAAGCAGGCAGGAGTCAGCTGGTAAAGGTTCCAGCCCTCAGGGCAACACTTCTCAGCCTCCTCCACACAGTCCCTCCAGCAGGATGCAACTGCTTCCTGTGAGTCTGTCTCACTCTCCCTGCCCCTCAGCACTGCTTCCTCCCAAACTTTCTCCTACCCTAATATCCTTACCCCAGGCTGCTAACAAGTAAACCTAATTAAAATCAGATGATTTTAATCTTGCTCAACCCAGAAGAGTTCAGCAGGATCAGAGAGCTATTGGAGGTACTGAGGCTTTTGTTTCTGGGGACATTTAGACTAGAGTTATTAGTCCAAAAATTCAGATTAAAACCTTTTCTATCCCAATACTGAATCTTATTTTTAAAATCAGCAAATCCAGGTCAATCTTAAAATATCTAGCTCAGGGCTTGGCACCTGTAGCTCAGCGGCTAGGGCACCAACCACATACATATACCACAGCTGGCGGGTTCAAATCCAGCCTGGGCCTGCCAAACAACTATAACCAAAAAATAGCCGGGCGTTGTGGTGGGCACCTGTAGTCCCAGCTACTTGGGAGGCTGAGGCAAGAGAATCACTTAAGCCCAAGAGTCTGGGGTTGCTGTGAGCTGTGTTGCCACGGCACTACCAAAGGCGACATAGTAAGACTCTATCTCAAAAACAACAACAACAACAACAACAACAAAAACCATAAGTAAATAAAATAAAACAAAACATCTAGATCAGGCTGGGTGTGGTGGCTCACACTGTAATCCTAGCACTCTGGGAGGCTATGGTGGGAGGATCACTCGAGCCCAGGAGTTTGAGGTTGCAGTGAGCTATGATGGCACCACTGTGCTCTAGCCTGGGCAACAAAGTGAGACCCTGTCTTCTCCCCCTGTCTTTAAAAAAAAAAAAAAAATCAGGCAGCGCCTGTGGCTCAAAGGAGTAGGGTGCTGGCCCGATATGCTAGAGGTGGCGGGTTCATACCCAGCCCCAGCCAAAAATTGCAAAAAAAAAAAAAGAAAAAATCTCGCTCAGTGTTATAAATGTCTTTATGTATCAAGGACACTTGATCCCTAGCATACATACTTTCCAGGAACATCAAATCTGATTTTACCTGTTTTATGTCACAAGGGAAGCTCTGTGTACCTACTTCTTCTTACCCAAAGGCATACAGAAAAACCTGGAACTCTGTAACATACTAAGCATAACTATTTCAAATTGGGGAGTAAGAAAAATCCAGAAAATACATTTTATGAAATAAACTATTAAAACAGATCCATGAACATTTAAAAAGTACAGTATGAGTGATATAGAATACAAGTTCCAGAAACATGTATATACAGCACAATATAAAGGTTTTACTTCCAATAATATTTATATTCTTTTATTTATTCGATCATTTAAAAACACCTTTATTGAGGTATAATTAATCTACTATAAAAGTCACCCATTTTAAATGTACAATGCCATGATTTTTAGTAAATCTGGTGAGTTGTGCAGTTTTAGAACATTTTCATCACCTCAATAAAATCCCAGTGGCCAGGCTGGAGCAGCCCCCTGAACCCCCCAGCCCCTGGCAACCAGGAATCTGTGTTCTGCTTTTTTCTTTTCCTAGGCATTTCACATGAACAGAATCACACAGTATGTGGTTACTGCCAGAGTCCTGGGGCAGTGGCTCATTTCTGCATGCTACCTGTAATGTGTGCAGCTTATTTGACTGAGCACCTGCTTCATGCCAGGCACCATGAAAGTAGACCAGGCTACTAGTGACAAAAGGAGACTTGAGAAAACAGTGACCAAATGATCATACACACAAATGTAAAGTGTCAACTAAGTTTCATGATGCTGTGGGGATAGGACTCAGAGGTGGAGATGATCAAACCTAGGGGAACAGGAGGGAGCAGGTTTACTACAAGTGATGATGAAAATGGCTGAATTTCAGAGAGGGAAGCACAGTGGGAGATAAGGCTGTTGAGAAAGGCAGGAACCAGATCAAGCTGGGACTTAGTAAAGCAGGTTTTG